TCATCTGGAGACGCCCACAAACAGCACCGAGTGCTGCTCAAAATGACAAAAGTGTCTCTTTGAATGCTCTACAACACTTACTCCACAATTTCAAAATCACATCCCCCAACCTGTATTCATAGCTGATACTAATATATTTAAAAGCGACTCTTATCAACACACCCATTTGATTTATTTTTCTCAAGTCTAAGGATTCTAAGGATGTTTATAAGAACAACATTATTTTATATGCCTTGTTTTCAAACTCTCGACTCGCCTTTCAGGTCTTCTCACTGACACCATGCGGTGTCTCCTACATCACCAGGCAAGGCGTCACGACAACTGTGAGCTCATGGCACTCACCCTGAGCTACATGCTGCTGTGAGCCCTTTCACGAGATTTCATGTTGACAACCCTACAAGTGAGCACTACCATTATCCACATCCCCCAGATAAGGAAACTGAGCCAGAAGATCAAGGAAGTAGCTGAGGCCACACAGCCGTGGTGACAGATGAAGAGGGGACTGACCAGGCACTGTAGCCCCAGCACCTGTGCTGGTAACTAACCACTCAGCTAAAAACAGTTTCTTAAGCCTGAGTCAGGCAGAGAACTTTTTATATCTGGATAATCATCGAGGGCTACTTACTCATCCATACACACAAAAACAGATATACACACACGAACTTTTTAAAAAGAAAAACTTCAACTCATCTTTTAAGTTATTTCACCAAGTATCAGACACTATAATCTGTAAGGTGCTTCATTATTACATGTGTCACCAACAAAGAAAAACAGCTGCCAATTAAAACAGACAAACCCCATAACAACAGTCCTGTCCCAGCCCTGGGGCGCTCCCTGACACCCCTTAGCAAAGGCAAAGGACCAGAGAAAGAAGCTGAAGTTAACTTCTGTGTAGCAGGAATCAGTTACGTAAAGTGATTAATTTTATACATGATAAAATATTTATTTTTTCCATACATAGAAGACTGACCAAAAAATTTATTAGTTTCCCCAAGTAGAAAACAAAGCTCATTGTTGATTACTCAACATGGTTCTCATATGGACACTGCTAAGCTGATATTCAAATCAGAAAAAGGCATCCCATTCAGCCAACACTTCCAGCTGTTACCGAGCTCAGACCTCCTGGAGCTGAAGATCACAGGCCCTCCTCTGAAAGAAGAAGAATGGTGCAGGAACAGAGTACTCCACGACCTTGAACTGGTCTAGATCCAAAATGAGACAGACACTGGCATGTGAAGCGGGCAGCTAAGAACTGATCTACTCAACAGCATGGACAGGAATGTAGAGGGAAGAAAGACCACAGGCCAAGTGAGAACTCAAGCACACATGCAGGTAAAGTGGTGAGCAAGGAATCCCGTGATGTGCGCTGAGAAAGGCGGGTGGAATACCAGGAACGGGGCAAGGGATGCAGCGCTGCCAGGCCCATCGTGATGTGCTCGGCACCAACCCCTCCTTCTGCCTCCTCCCCAGAGGCAGCCCACATGCTAGGTCAGCCCACACTGATGAGAAGGCAGACACTGTCCACAGCCTTCCCCGATCTACCAGAAACGTCCCCTTCACTTCCTTCTTAGCCATTTCAGAGGATTCCTACCATTAATTTTTTCTCTATAAGATGCACTGACACCCAGTAACAACTGACAATTCTTATGTCAGCAGTGACTCAGCCCGGTATCCCCCGTGCCCAGCAGCATCTGTGGTTGTCACTATTTTGGGACTTTAACAGCTGCTCAAGGATCAGCCTTTGCCCTAGTAAAGAAGGAGAGATCATGAACTCCTCTCTTCAA